TTTTATGGCAGGGTAAAGAAAACTAAAAGACTTTTCTACTGCCTCCTAAACTTTCTCGGATGACAGAAAGACAACACTTATTGTCACAAGTGGGGAGAAACCGGTATCGTCCCACATTAGATATCTGTTTCCTTAGTGGAACAACTGTGGCGAAAAAAAGGCGAAAAAATTATTTAGCTCATAGACATGATTCATACCACGCAATAATGAGACGCACACCGTGGCGATGGTTGGACAGATATTATAGCGGGGAGTATTTAGTTGGCTATTGTTATGTCACGGGATTACGCAACATGTAGATTTATGTAAGGAATACCTGGCGAGATATTTGCGACGAAAGTGCCTTTTGTACTTATGCAATTTATTGTTACGATTAGTAAATCGCCATGCAGTTGGAGGTCAGGCTAATAATTATCGAATGTTGTGTATGTATGCAGACTAGTCGGGGGGAGGGGGGAGGGATGCCAATTTTCTGTGCAATCGCCGTGGCTAAGAACTCTATTCCCTTAAAGTGGGTCTTAACTGTTATTGTAACATTTGTTGGGAGGAAAAAGTTGGTGAAAGTGGAGAGGTGAGCGGAAAGGTGTGCCACTTTTAGTCGCAGGCAGGTTTCCTCCATTCTTCTTTTACTTCTTTGCACCCCGCAAGCCGTCATTTGTTGGCTTAACTATCTAAAAAAGAGAGATATGACATGCTTTCCACGGACACCACACCACACCTCTCGCGCTATATTTGTAACGATCGGATTTATTGAGCGGAATTATTTCAGTGGGAGAAAATACCTTGTCCTTCTTCTTACATACTCGGCGTCGTCTTGAATGTCGCTCAAGTTTAGCACGAGGCGATGATAGTTCAGTCAAAGGGATTGAACGACCATGACTGGAGAGAAGAAGCCAGGAGGGCTGTGAACTTCTAGAGCGATCGACTTATTGGCTTGGGTCGCAGTATAGTGGTGATTCTGCCATCCATCGTTTATAACTTTTGTCACTTTTTCATGTCCTTCATGTGTGACAGGAAACTCATTTTTCTTGAAATATTTCCAAATTTCCATACATTCAGATTCTATTAATAAGATTGTATTATCGTTCCTAGGCCAGAAAATGAATTTGAGCCGCTCTTTATTGTGAACCATGTTGACAAACAACTTTCTTCCTTTGACGTGTTTATAGTTAGGTGATCAAATAATTTCTGGGAAAAATTAATATTCACATCGAAAAACATGTTTATTTAGACATACACAAGTAACTCAAGGGAGCCTGTTAATTCTATCTTTTTTTAGTAACTTTGCAATCACTGGAACTCATTAGTTTCGCGGCAAATTATATATTTTTGCATTCATTAATCAAGAAACTAATATAAATAAACCAAAACCATGCAGTTTCTTACTTACTTATTACAATTCTTATAATAGCCAACAACGCAGTGGCTTGATGACACTGTCACTAGAAATAAATTACTCGTTCACTTTTGGACTTTGATCTAGGCGTGAAAAACAAGACAAGAATGATTAGAACCATTAAACAAACTTCTTATAAATGCAAATGCGACATTTCCAAATTCTGTGTAAGTATCCCTCGTGTCGCTCTCGCAATCTAGATTTTCCAACTTTGTACATTTTCCGTTTCTTTCATGCACCCGCAGGTTCTCGAACAAACATTGAATGATTAATAAGAAGGAAAGTCAGGTCCCGTGTACTTAATTATATAGATGCGAATTACAAGAGTTGAGCACTTTCCTTCCTTCACAGAGTTCTACTTTTCAGTGTTTCACCACCACTTTTGAATTTCCGTTCCGATCAAGAACGGGACAAGTTTCGGAACTTGAATTTGTGTCACTCATTCAAAACTAATTTTATTTATGAGATTTGTACTTTGAGTTGTACAACTTTGAGAGAGAACAGGAAACCATAAATGACTCCGAGGGGACCAAAGTGTCTTAAATTTTGAAGGAGTGCATGCATAATGCATTTGCAGTAATGAAGAGTGTAATCACCGCCTTCACGCAATTATCATGTTTACACAATGGGATGAATAACTCGTAATTTCAAATTAACATTTGTCCAATCAACTACAGAACGTGAACTTCTCTGATATTTATGTCAAAATGTACATAAAGCAGGATAGCAGAAACTTTATAGGATCGATTTGTTCACTATAATTGGACGAACCCATCATCAAAACCGAATGGCGTGATGAATGACATGTCGTGATCATGACCGTGGAGTAACGTAATCGTAACCACCAACCATCACCGGTCTCTATGTAACAAATCTCTCTTACGTAGCTACTCGAGGACAGAAAGTTACAGCGGGTGGAAAAAAATAAAAATAAAAATTCCAAGCCACCTCGACATCGTTACTTAGCATATGTTTCCGATGGGACATATGAATACAAAATTAGGCCTTTGGGGGAAAGATTTACACTCGAGAAGTTTAACCTTGCCCTATAGCAAGAAGAGCAGGACGGAAAACCTGAAAGTAAACCAAGCGAAAGTAAAGAGTATGGAATAATTTTTCCAACTCTCACCCACGAAAGGACAAATATCCTGTCATTTTGGCAAACTCGCGTTCGAGTCAGCAAATATTTTTTAAAAGATGAGCGTTTCACTTTCAGCTCCACGAGCGAACCCACCAACCGACCGAGTTTGCTCATCGGTGAGGGAAACGATAAGACAAAGTAAAGATTACATTTGGCTAATAGAAAGGAAGAAATTGCAGAAAGTGTGGTGGCTGAGCTGCAACGATTCAGGGAGTAGAAATTCGCACCCACTTTCCCCTCACCAAAATGAATTCGAATGTCAACTCTATCGCGATGTGATAAATTTGGTCATAAATCCTGCCTGAGTGGGAGTTATAGTTAGCGTGAGGAGGAGAAGAATGGCAGCTGCAGTACCAGCTATGTCGGTGGGCAGGAAGATGAGACAGAATACAGACAGGCTACATACATTACATTCATTCCTTTATACATACGGACGTACGTATTTACGTCCGTAGCAGTGGGACAAGTCCACTTTTGGATCATCCGTTTTCTGCTATCTTTGTTGTTGTTGTCGTTTCGTCGCTGAAAATTATTTCCGCTATAACGTCGCGTAGCATTATTCTTCTCGAAGCATTATTCTGGGATCAAAGTGTTTTAGACTCGAGTACTACTTGTTATTATCTTGCTGTTTCTGCTGTAGAGCTGCTCCTGAGATAAGTAATCTGCTGTACCGACCTGTTTATGTATTCCCAAAGTCACCATTTCATAAATAGTCGACTATAACATACTTGTAGTTCGAACTGATAACCATTCATTAACCAGTTAGGTAACATTTGCAAGGTTGCATAAATATTGGCCTTTGGTATCAACAAACCAAAGCCTAAGTACATGCGAAATATGGAGGGAAAGCAGATATGAAGGGTACCCTTGTACACACACTTATCACATTCAGTTCGGTGGAGCAAATGATAAGATCTTATGTAGTAGTTGGTCTCTTATCTTTCCTCTCTTCCTTCCGTGATTGTGGATAGCGTGACGGATTTGCCTTCCTCTCTCCTCTGCCTACATAGTAAGCATGGGGTCCTCTTCACCAATGAGCTGAGTGCAGCAACCATCAGAGGAGAGCTATCTGCCAGAGAAAAAGAAAGCGAAAGTGTGTGTTCTGGTTCTCGTGCAAAAACTCTAAAAGTAAAAGTACGGCTAACTAACTAACCCAGCAGCGTCGTGGTGGTGGGAGAAAGTCAAGTTGGATTGAAGAGCTAGTGAATGAAATTGCAGTTCCTCTGGAAAGAATCAACTCCTCTCCAACTTTAATTTGCGCCATCACCTGCACATCAACCACATTAGAGAACTTAGACCTACACACAAGCCGAGAGGAAATTTTTACTCTTCACCAGTTTCCGTATTTGGTTGGAAAGACATTAGAGCGTAAGTGGTAGATTGTTTTGGATGGTTGGTTTTTCGAATCCAAGTTGAGATTGGAGTTGGACGTTCGGAAAATGGTGGAGGTATGTAGGTAGCAAGGTCTGCAGGAAATGGAGGAAAGTTAATTAGACATCTCGGGAGACTTTGGAGATAGAAATGCCGACGTCAGGACTTTTATACTGGGCAACGAGCCGCTGTATTTCTTGATGTTGTTGGAAAACGAGTTAAAATCTTTAGTAGTACATAGCAGAATTGTGGTATTTCCTATAATTTACATAAAGTATGTTCGTATCGCTGTCACGGAGCATAATTTGTTTAGGGTTTTACATTAGTGCACATACATTTCATCAGGCAACTTGATTCAGCTTTCTCCACGTACGCTGCTGCTGAGGCCAGCTTTCTCTTTTCGAATCTGTACAGCATATCCATTGCAGCAATCTTGTTAATGATGAGGAGAGAGAGTATGGTCTTGCGATATGCCATTATTTTCTCCCTGCTCTACTTTCTTCTGTACAGACTGAGTAAATATATACGACGAGTAATGCTGGCGGATCATTTATTATCACGTCTCCAGCTTAAAAAGATTAATTGAGTCAAACATGTCAGTGGGGTGGAATATGTAGTACTGCGGCTGACAGGTCGCAGTTATTTTAGAATCGGCGTCATCAGGTGGATTGTTGGTAAATGGATGCTGCTTCTGCTGCTGGTGTAATAAGTGCACAGTGACTGGAAAAGAATTCGTGCATGTAACCCGTTTCGTAAAAAAAACGTATTATGCAATGCTCATTATGTAAATATAGAGGTATCCATATGTATTTATCTTTAGCAGCAGGGGGATACAGCTATGCAAAAGTGCATAGATATTCTTATACCTCATCCTGCCCGGGGTACGCGTGGGTGTTTGAGATGACAACCGAATTTGCGATGGAGGACGTGAAAATTCATCCAACCAACATGGCCAACATTGATTAATTATGGTTTGCATTAAATGCAAAAGTTTTTGAGTGTTTTCAATTAAACGTGAAAATCACATTGGGTGATTGTTAAGGCCAAAGTATTTTCTGTACATCTATTTTTCACTTTCAACTAATTGGGTGATCCTGGTAGCAAGAAAATTTATTATAATAATGTGATACGATTAACTATTCAACAGCAAATGAATACATTAAATGTAGATATTCGGGTCTGTACGTATTTAGGGCATAACAGTCCTGTTGAAATTTATTTCTGCGGTATCACTATTTTGTATAAAACAAATGTCGAGAGCAGTGGAATAAATAGACAAATTGACAGTAATTGTCATTTATTACTTATAAATCGGATCGCATTTCTGTGAAAGCTCATTCCGACAAAGTTGGTCGGTTGGGGTTAAATCAAGTAAATTGAGTATGTACATTTGCCCTTTTTGGCACATCCAAGCTGCATTTCTCATCAGTCTACACAATGTTCCAGTAAATTCTTATTTCTTACAGTATCACGATAATTTTATTATATCCCAAAAGCACCGGCTTCAAGTATTACTGCAACAACGCAATTCATTGATTCCATAATCAGTCGATAATCTATAATGAGATTTTAACCATTAGTTTTTCTAAAATTGATTCTGTTGAGTATCACGAAAATCTACCAGACTATCGATATAACTCACAAATGTGTCGCTGAAGAATGTGAAGACTTATTTGACAACTACAATTCCAATTTAATTTAACTATTGCTTGCAGTGAAGCTTTTATTTCTATAAAATTGGCACAAATTAATAATTTTATGAGGAGACCTCTTGACTTGAGGTGCTTCTCCTTGTGAGTCTACTTCGGGACTTTTTGTTAAAGTTAACTATGAAGCTAAATGTAAACTAAAAACGCCTACCATTAATTCTGGTTAAAACTGGATTTTATGTAGTCGTGGCACTTCCACGTCACCTTAACCTTCACAATAACCTTCATATAAAATATATCATATTCTTACATGCGTATGAGCCGGTCACTTTACTCTATGAAAACTGTCTCTTACATAAAGTGCAATGCTCTCAATCTTCATATCACACAAAATCATGATAAAAATACATGCCTGCATATCATTACATTTAACAGATTCAATACAACTTCAAATTATGTAACGGCAATAGTTTTCTATGAAAGTATATAGTATTTGGACTTATCAATTGAGATAAGTATCTATTCTTGTAAGTAGATTTTCAAGCATTTTCTGCCTGATTCAAGGGTCGGAATGACATTTTTGTAGTAGTTTTTATTCATTCGCCACTAGTCAATCTGTCACTTCTCATTTATATCGTTCAACTTTATCATTCAACAACAACTTATGCGAGTAATTACATCAAACGATTCGTTATTCGTGTCCTGCTTTCTGTCATCCAGTATTTTGTTTTGTTGTGTCTCATTGATTAGTTATTCACTAGAATGCTCTCACTTCTGTACTTTTCGGGGTAAGCAATTTGAGACTGCACAATACTCATTGTCAGTATTGTTGTTGGGTCTTCTTTAGATGACGCCAGCCGCGTGCTGCTCATAATTATATTTAGTTTATACCTACACATTTTCCCTTACTTGTTGAGGAATACTGGGAAATGGAGCTGACATCAAAGTGGTTAGCACGTGTAAATTACTAGAAATATTTACATAGATTTGCCGGTTAAATGCCTCCTTGCTTTTGATCATAAGGTCATATTAATTTCTAAATTTGGTGTAATTTAGACACGTGGAGGTGAGTGGGTGCAGTAAACTCGATATGTAAACTATTTACAAAGACTTGGTTGCAGTCATTTGCTAAACTTGGAGAATATTCCTGGTGCAGATTCAATCACTAATTTCTCATAGAGTTTACTTGGAATATAATAATGGGAATGAGGTTGGTGCAAGAAGACAAGAGTGGTAATGCAATGCACGAACTATGTAATTTTCTCCGAATTGGATTAGTATTACTTCTCCGTTCTTATACAATTGATTGAAAATCAAACGGTGATTCAATTTAAGCTGAAAACTAAAAACTAAATTTCTAAACATTCAAAATACATACTCGTTTATTTCAGAAATACTGAAATTCTTAAAACTCTGCATCCTCACGAAATGTTTCAAAATTCAAGTCACATGCTAACTTATTTTAAAAATAACTGAAAACATTAAATAACGGGGACTCTTAATAATCTGCGTAATAACAGCGCCACAAAAGCACAACAAGAACGAATGAGTAGCTATATGATATTACATAGGGGGAATTCACATGCAATATATGTACACACCCACCACCTACGTATACATACATATTTAATTTGTCATTTCATTGTCCCCTACAAAAGTTAGGGACTACGGGACATGACATGTAAATAATTATGGACAATGTTAATCCACGTGGTTTACACATTCCATACATACTTAACTCGAGAAATTCAACAACTTTCACCACTTCCAACTTTTAACTAGAATTGATTACTTTCTAATTCAAAGCTTGACAAGGTATGCACACACATTGCTAGCGGATGATTATATGAAATTGGGAAATCCTCTCGAAAATGGTCGGTGCGTATGTCTGTCGGTTGTTGTTTGATCAACAATAAGTGCTCGACAATATACAGTTCAGCGCTTGCTTGTTGATTTGCCACTTCACGTGCCGACCAGAGTGAGCCATCGAGAGGAAGAGTACGTATGTGTCCTGTCCACTACTATCAGACTCCTCAGTCGGCAACTTTTGTCCGAACAAAGCCATCTGAAAGGACTGCTTCTTGTGCGTCGTGAAAGTGAGTGAAAGCAAAGTAAGTAGCAGCAGCCAACAACCTGGTTTGATGAAGGCGAATGAGAAATCAATATAATGGAAATGAGCCCAAAGGGGGATGATTGATGATTGATTCAATGGATGAGTAGGAGGTAGTTGTAGGAGTAGTGTTGCTATTACCATATCCATCGTGGTCGTCCTCGTCGTCATCCTCGTCGTCGTTATGTATTGTCTCATCACCTTTCTCCACCGATTCAGGATTTCTTTGTGTGACGAGTGTATTATATCGGTCTCTAGGTATGGAGAAAGTTGAGCAAGTTTTTCCTATGAATTATACAAGACCTGCACTTTTAGCATATATCCCAAGCACATATATATTGAACAACTGGATACAAGAATTACCTAGAATTGCGCAAGGCACATAATTCAGAATGATTTTAAGCCCTGGATAAATGCTTAATTACAATAATTCAACGAGGATCTATTCCAATTAATTATTAACTTTGATTCAACTTTGTGCAGCAGTTATGTGTATTTCAACCTCCTGAACTGAACTCAATTATTACAGGATGTTTACAGATTTTGTGGAAAGACAATTACATGTATTACTTTTGAACGCGTAATCCAATTTGCACCAAATTTGGCACACGCAATCTCGAAGGTCACGACCACACCTGCCCAAAGTTTCAAATTTCTATCTTCAAAGATGGCCCCCAAAAGTTACCCCAAAGTGGACGAACCGTAAAAGCGGTTTCCGAAGCTAATTTGGCCGCGAAAAGTGCCCAAACGATAATCCAAAAATTTGGAACCCATCTTATCGTGTCCCCCACATATAATTCTATCAATTTTGTAAGAAAACGACAGTAACTAGTTTCATCCCACCAACGTATGCGACGAAATGCATACCCCTCACAACGATGAATTCTGCCACCCTGAAGAACATTGATCGCCACGATGGCAATCAGAATCCTGCAACCAAAAGACAGGTCACAATGCAATCCCAGGTGTCTCCTAGACACGTTAATCGTATTTTATAGCACGATTTTAAAAAAGCCTTGCAGAGGAAGGCGAAAGTCCGCGCACTTAAATTTACCCATATGGTAAACAAAAAAACTAACAGCCGGAGGCTGTTTGAAGGTCATGTTGGGAATAAAAATTCCGAATTTGTCGTCACATTGGACGGGACACTCTGCTGCCTTCAAAACTTCAACAGGACAAAAATAATTTGCTGCAAAACCGACCGAAAGCAGATTTCAAAGCATGGGTCTGAAAAGAAGGAAAAGTTGTCTGACTGATTCCTGGTGGCAGGTGCAATGACGGACCGTGGAGTGCGAACATTGATACCTGTTGGGTCTAATGCAAAAATAAACTTGAAGTACTTTATGGACAGTGTTTTACATAAGTTGTTGGAGGTCAAAATTGCAAAGAAGCAATTTGGGGAGCCTGACAAGATTTGCATCCATCACGACGCGACATTTTCATATACGACCGTATTTACCCAACCGGACGCCCAAGATTTAAAGGCAAACCCCGGAATGACCTCGATATCTTTTTCCGGGGTACACATTAAGTAACCTGACACCAGTCCAATGGAATTTTTTGGGTTTGGATGCTTAGAACAACGCTTTTTCAATGGAAGAGATAAAAAATGTCTGTTGTTTGGAAACCCCTTTCACCGATTCCTCCACTTTGAGGTTACTTTTTGCGCTCATTTTTGAAGATAGAAATTTGAAACTTGGTACATGTGTGACCGTGATCTTGGGGATTGCGTGTTCGAAATTTGGCGCCAAAACGGATAAAGGGTTCGCAGTTTACCCATAAAATTGTCTTTCCACAAAATCTGTAAACACCCTCTGTACTAGGACCATGTTCATTCATTATCGAAACACCGCACCACCATCCCCCTCGTGTGTCATTGTAACTTGTGCAAAATCCATTAAGAAATGAATCGTGAAACCGCACGCATACATATGAAACTACATACATGAATAGTTTCCGTTGTTCATTCATCAAGCATTATTAAGTAGGGTTGGTTGGTTGGTATAAATTCGTGGAAGAGATCTTGGCAAAATTATTATGAAAGAATATTAATGGGTTTTTACTTTAGTGCCAGCTTGTATCTATATAATCATCACCTGCAAAATATTAAATGCCTGTACAAGGAGGGATGATTCGTTTTAGGTAAATGGATCCACCCATTACAAATGCAGTTACGGAGGTTCTAGTCATGCGGAATTTGCCGTTTTTTGTGTTCTCTGAATGAGATTCGGATATGGCCTGTCCGAATACTAATAGATAATTATCTGCTTCTTTACAAATGTTTCATGATTATGCGGTTGTGTAATGGGTGGGAGGATTTATGTCCATACGTGGCGTATACGTACTTATGTACATACCGCTGCGTTTTATTCCAACTTCTACCTACATATCCTCCAAATAAATCAAATCTATTATTTTACCAAATTCTATAAATGTGAGTAATGGGAATATTATTTTGCGATAAAATCAGCTCGTCTTCACTCTAATGCTTCTGTTCATGCCCCATTATTCGTGTAATAACGATAAGTGAAGTTGATCGAGATTCTCGTGCGCAGCCACGAAAAAATTTATGTGAAATTGTGGACATTACGTAATTTTCTAGTATAGATTTTATTATCGCTATCAAAATTGTTTACACACCTCGGGTTTCATCCGCCCCCTTCGTGAAGTGAATTATGCATTTTTCGATTGAATAATATAACGGTTCAACTTTCTCCGCGTGATAATATAATATCCGGTCGGACACCTATTGATCTCCTGACCATGCATGGGAGCAATTCGAGTTTAAAGGTGTCCACTAAGGGCCAGTAGTCATTTTTCATTCACAATCTTGAGCTCCCACTTTCCCAATACAAATGCGAAAACACGTTTCCTCTTTGTCAATATGGGTACAAGTGGGTGAGCGCCCGTGTCGCTCAAGTGCCAATATTATGCTGACGAAACACCCGTTGGCTGTAAATGCGTAGTCTTTTCACCATCCAATCCTCCCTCCCTCACGTTTAAAATTGTTCCATCAATCCTGGAAGCGGCATGTGTTTTTGAGTACTTTTGACTCGAGCTTGGTTGAAATTTGGCCACTTCAGTTCGCATAAATCTCTTCTTTCGTTATTTGTCACATTCCGTCCCTCTGTTGAATTCAGTTCAGTCCTTTGAACGAGAGAGAAAGACTCAAGTGGTGAATGTTGACAAATTTTGAGAAAAATTTATATTTTCATATTAAAAGTTTTCTATGG